TCGAAACAAAAATATTCTTAACACTCAGAAAAGTATTCTCTTACTCTATCGTTTGATCATTTTCTTGCGTTTTGAAAAATCTATTATCTCTATTATCAAATGGAACATGGGCCACATTGTCTGCTTGTCTTCCTAGCGTTTGGCGTGTCACTTGTATTTAGCACTTGTCACCACTTGTTAATCGCAATTGGAAAAACATTAAAAGAGATACCAAATTTCGATTTATATTTATTGGTAGGAAACATAAGAAGGATATGAAATTAACGCTGAGACTAAAAGAAAAAGGACCAAATTTCGATTTTACTGTGCGCCAAGCAAAGTAAAAAAGGGTATACAGACGACACATCCCATGAGTTGGGAATTGACAGCGAAATCATGTTAAGTTCGTGAGGCAACGCATTTTTGATTGGGGATAACAAGCTGACAGGTAACAGCCCAAAAACTCTTGACTTCGCATGGCAACGTGCATTTCATTGGTGCAGAAATGACAGCGTGAAAGATAGAGAGATATGAAGCGCAGAGATATTAAGGCTTTTGAAAATAATGCCCTTTAAACCATAAACCATTATTCAAGCATTTAAGTAGAATTTTTTTCTGGAAAAAGTATTATTTTCGAGAAAGAAAAAATTAAATTACATTCACAGGATGAACTACCCACTCCCTCTACAACTTTTCAAACGGTCCATCTGCAATAGATTCCAAAAAAAAAAAAGGAACCTCCTGAGATCAAGCCAGACAGAACGTGACGGTTTTGCTTGTGTATGGACCACCCACCAAACGTGGAACAAGGTCTTCATGGATAAAGGACTTTGCGGACCTAGGACATACTGTGCGCATTAAGAACTAATCGTCGACGCTCTGGGATTGGAAATACCAAATAATTTTGAGACAGCTCGCTTCGAGCATAGAGAACACCTGTAAAGAAAGGTAAGGAATTAAAATTGCAAACCTGAGTAGTGTTGTCTTAAAAAGAAATTGCTTACAACCTTTGTGGATGCAATCGATGTGGACACGTGCCTTCTGCACACACGCATATTGCAACGATTTTTTAAGATCTGCACCATGGTTTAAAAGCGACTTCGCTCAAAATTGAAGGACATATATTCAGTTCTCAAGCAATTGTATCATTTTGACCAGATACAGGGTAAAACATGGATAGATTATATATCTCACCTTGTCTGATCTTTCGGTGGCCATGGCGCGTCAATGGGCATGAAAGAGAGAAAAGAGGAAGATAAGAAAAGGGAGAGAGGGACAGGGAGAGAAAGAAAGAAAAGAAAGAGAGAGAGAGTGGGGGAGAGTTGGGTGAGGTGGGAGAAAGGGACAGAAATAAACACAACAAAAATAAGATTTAGCTACAAAATTATTGGGAACATTTCAAGACAACCAATTGCTACTTTTTTTTTTAATCGTAAGTGATGCTCACCCGCAAAGAAAGTACATATATTACGTAGGACAAAATCATCAAATACAGTCAAACCCCCTTAATATGTTCGAACACTGAGGGGACCATAGAAAGTGTCCGTATTGAAGTCGATTACGTTGTTAAAGTTTGAAAAAAAAATAACGACACATTTCATTAGAAATCAAATGCTAACGCATCTTTAAATTGAAAAACTTTAACTTCTACAAAGCCTTAATTTATAAGTCCAGGGACTAAATCCACGGAAGCACTGAAAAGTCCCTCCTCTAAATATCAATTAATCAAAACCGTTCTCTGTATACCCAAGAGAGAATGTAGCTCATTATCTCTTGGTATACCACAATAGTTTGATACCAAAAGTAGTCTAAAAACTGACGTCTACACTATGCGGTGTACTATAGAGCTGGGAACATGGACATACTGTGAACTGAAAGATTATTTTATATTGAATAAGGAAAGGTTTCTTACAACATATTATTGATAATGAAGTATGCGCATTAGAGAGGTTGACTTTCTCTCTGAGTCTCCTATGAGAATCTGTCGACTGGGCAAGAAACAAGTGTCTGTTGGCAGCATTAACCTGTGTCCTTATTAAGCGGGTTGAATTTAGAGAAAATGTATGGACATTCTCCAGGACAAAGAAAACTGACCATAATAACGAGGTGTCTGTATTGAGCGGGACGCGACTGTACAATTATTTAGCCGCGTGATTATGCCGATTTGATCGTCAAAAGAACGTTGCAAACGGGAAGTTGGGATATAGGAATCACGTCTTTAATGCAAATGCGAACTTAAAAATAACAGTTAACAGCTCTGATAAAACCTGATAGAAAACTAATCAGTTTTATAATAGGAAATTGAAGAGGTGCGCATATATTGATAATTTAGAGATAAGACTCAGTTACGTCCTATTAATTGAGGTTTGCCGTCTTCCTTAAACTTACCCTTGAGGGAAAATGGCAGCAAATCCTGGTACCCATCTAGACCACTCGTGACTTCCAGCGTAGGTACCGCAAGGAATAGTTCTTCTTTTTGGATATACCGTACAGTCAATGACATGTATAGACAATTTTCCATCTTTATTGACCACGCCTTTCTCTCGGTTCATAAAAACTTGCTTACTATCCAGCTACCTTTATCGAACAATATTGGTCAATAACGTACATATGAAGTAGACCACACTCCAGAACAACCTCTCCTAGTCTTTTTGAACAGAAGTGTGAGATAACCCCTTTAGTTTCTTTCGGATAAAGAAAGATTACAAAGCCGATGAGGCAAACGGCAAATAGCGCGATAGATCATCTACACTCACTCATACAAGCCAAAGATCTCGAACACGATTACTTAAAATTTAAAACCCTAATTCTTGCTCTGCTTCCTGCAGCAGGTTTCACTTTTCATACATAGCCGATTAAAGTTGCAACAAGAAGTGTTATTTAGAAATTCATGCTATTATTACATTATCATGTTAACTTCAATGCATTGATATCTACAGGCCATGTCTAAAAGAGGGAAAGGTACGTGCGCTACATGTCAGCAGCAGTACGGTAACAGAAACAAACCCGCGTATTGCTCATGTGGTGCTTATCTTGGTGGGCATTTCATTCCAAAAAAGAAAAAGATAATTTCTGCACCAGAGGTTGTACAGTTGGTGAGGAACATTTATTCCGCCAAAACCAGTTCCAGAAACGACCGCTGTCTCGTAATGAAAGAAGGACAACAATGGATCTGTTTACGTGCTAATTGTCTGAGGGACAGGGCGGCCTTTGTGTCATCAGGGAACGCAGACGGGTTTAACTGTAATCATATTAATCTAGCAAGAAAAGGCGCTGTTTCAAAACCTACAGATATCTGGACACCAACAGAATCAGATATTGAGAGTTACGAAGGTGGTCAGTCAGTGCAGACAGAACTCAAAAGAGTCGTTCAGGGATTAACACCACCTCAGCCAGCAGTGATCACCGTCTGCGAAGATAGATTTGTTGTGTTTGGACTTCCCACCGCAACCAACACTCTGGGGTATTGTCATGTGCGCAAAGAGGAAGCAAACCTACTGAGTGCAAGTAAAGATTGTCAAGGGTGCGTAGCAAGATGCAAATCAGAGAAACAGAAGAATATATGCATACACCTGCATCTTTTATTGTTGTACAACAAGGTGAAGAAGAAAATTTTCAAGCAAGCAGAGGACGCACCATATCCAGCTGAAGCTGAATTCGAACCTGAACAGCTACCAGAAGACCCTGGCCCCTCTAGTAGGTTATCAGTCAATCAACATCAAACAACATCGACATTGACATCGGAACTGGAGCTCAACTCCAACAGGGCAGCAGAAATGATATTCGGTCAACAGGAAAACGCTAACTGTCCTTCAGGTGTGATGGAATCAGCGCCTGCACCAGAACAGTTGACAGACGACGTAATCTCAAGCACGTCAAGAAAATCAACACTAGAGCTTATTTCAGAAAAAATCAAATTGCCATATGAAATAACAAAAGAAACACATATAATGAGTGACGATTTCAACGCCATTTCTCACCTTGGAGTACCTCTGGCTGGTCAAGTGGGCTGGCCATCGGAATTTGCCCCTATTGAAGAAAAGTGCGGGCGGTGCGAATCGCACCTTGGGCCAAAGCGTACCCATCCCAGTTCTAGAGGGGAAAACAAGGGCATGGCATATCTCGTCACCGACATGACACCCTTTCGCATGATAACCATTTACGTAAGATTTTGTTGCAATTCAAATTGCAAAGCAATGCACCAGGCTGACACACTTAAACTAGGTGAGTATGCTAAACAAAATAGAATACAGCAGCGTATAAGACAACGAATCATCAGCGGAGTCCGGGATAAGCCAAAAGAGAATATGAAATTGGGTTCATTAAAGAATGGGTCTCAAAAAATTGGCGAGGGTTAGGTAGTCTGAGCCGAAAAGACTGAAACTGTTTTCACCAGCCCTCCCCCCCCCGTCGCGCTTAGGGACTGAAATGACCGATTTTGCTCTCACTTAGGGTGTTTGAAACGGAAGACTGTGTATAAAGACATTTACACAAAATGCAGTAACAAAGACTATACGTTAATCTCCAGTCTTGTTTCTGTTACTTCAGGTCTTCTTAACATTAGCGATAAAGTTTTGGTATCATTGGACATCCTGTCAGAATGGAGGGAGCATTTCAAGCGCGGTAGCCCTATATCAAATGTAATTGATTCAAAGGTCTCGTTCTTGGCTTCCAAGTCTCAGGTAAGAAGTATAGGATTGTTTAACTGTTTTTAAGTTCAACATTGCAATAAACAATTCTAATTCAACTTCAACTACCTCACTGTACTGACTACTTCCTCTGTCCAGGCTAGCTAACCTGTGAAATCTATGCCGACCACCTTTCTCGTAATCCATTCACAGTCCCACTTGTCAGAAGGAGAGCTCAGATGGATAAAGGACCTTCTGTACAATGGCTTTTATGCCTATTAGGCATTGACCCCAGGAGACCTTAATTCCGTAATCTGTGGCATTTGCGGAATCGCGGGAGAGATCTACCTGGGCGACGGCAACGAGAAAAACTATTGCAGTAACAAGCATGTGAGTAAATGAACAGTGAATTATGATAACTACTCGTTGAGCCAATCGATCTAATCAACTGCTCCGTATTAATTAACGGGGGGACGTTGTCTTTTTTACTTTCACGTTTTTTAACCGAATGCTCTATTTGACAATGTAAGTGAAATTCCCCGAACAGGAACAAGCGGACGTAAGTACCCAAAGAGGACCAAAATCTCTAGAGAAAATGCTTGACGATCTAAAGCTTTATTGGTTAGAGAAAATTACGTACACCAGAGTGCTCGCTGAGCCTGAGTTCAATGCTGCTACTCTCCCTCCAGTTATTGCGCCCTTACTTCGAGCACAACAAGTGTTAAATACTGAAGGAGAGAAGAAAAGCGTTTACCTCTCCGCGAACGCTGATGGTGAGTCAAGGTTATTTACGAGTGGAAGAACATATAGGAATGCCAATTCGGCTGCATTCCAGTTAAGGGCACCTGAAAGGAGTCCCAACACTGCACAGTTGTTCCCGCCTCTTAACCCGGGAGTATGACTTAGCTTCCCTTGAGCCGAATTGAAGGCAAATGAAAAAAATTAATATATTGTAATTGCTCATTTACATTCGATTCCGCTCTTGAGACTACAATACTCATATGTTGCTGCAACAATAATAGTAGCGACCTATCTATTGCGAAACAGCGACGGTACCTCACTTTACCTGTCTACTTTGTGGTTCAAAATTATGTCCTTAGTTTAGTTGTTTTTCCAGTTTCCATGGTGTTTGGGTACTGTTATAATAATGCGTTGGAAGCAAAGAAAAATAGAAATTGGAACCAAGGATAAAATTGAACCCCAACAAATACAACAATGGTAAGGGATTCCAAAGAAGTGTTAATTTCTAAGTTCATGCAGCAACAAGAGATTTAGATGTGTGTGCTTCGCAGAAACCATTGAACAACAGTCATAACATAGTAAAACGTCCATTCTTACACCTTCCTTCCACAGGTGATCAAGCAGTACTCCATGATATAATCAAGACGGGGAAGATAGAAATGAACCGTCTAGGAGAATACAGTGCAGGGGAACTTAAGAACTTCTGCAAGGAATGCAAAATCCCTTATTCTGGGAAGTCAATGGTATCTATTTTCAAATTAAGTATATGTGTTCAAGATTGAATCACGAATACTCCCTTTCCATGTTGTGCTCTTCGTCGGGAAAGGTGGCGGCGGGTACAGGGGGGGAGGAGGAGGTGGATGGTGTCTCGTTATGTGTGTTCGTAGTTTTCCACATTCGAGAAATTTTCCAGGAAGAGATACGGATTTGAGGGCACAAAAAAAGACCATTGAAAAGTAGACCAATTAGGTGGGTACGACAAAGCAGGGATGCATGTGAAACTAAAGCAAAACTGACTGTGCCTAAGTTTGGGACGTTGTTAAGAAAGAAGGGTGAAATTTTTCAAACTCAAAAGAAATGGGGGAGGTCTTTGAAATACAGTAAAACTGAGGGAGAGGGAGGAGGTTTTATAATATAGTATGTTGTTTCTGTCCTTAGGTTGCCGTTTTTCAGAAGCTTTCCTTCGTTTCTACGTTTATTTTGCTCCCAAATCCGGTCTTCATTTGTGAGCCGACGTTAAGTTTACCGCCCCGGGGTATACCTTGTTGAATGTTTCCATTTTATTACCAAGGATACCGAGCATAACGGTTACCGTTGAAAGAGATTATGGTTTATGAGCTTGCGCTAATTGCAACAGGCTTTTTGTTTTTGGGAGGAGGTGGGGAACTTGTGGCCCGTTTTGGAACTATCCTATCCACTCGCGGGGATTTCGCTAAAAAAAGTACCCCTCTTCCCCCATAAGTCAAAAACACCTGTCTCCCCCACCTATTAAACAACAAAAAAACTCATTTAAAAATATCAATTTTCTTTTAGGCAAAGATGAAAGCAGACTTGATGACTCTTTATAAAGGAATCCTTTATGGCTTTTGTCCTTGCCATGGCTACAATAAAAAATCTGGCAAAACTGGCGGGTTTTACCACATGGTGTGCAGGCATGGGGTAAGCTATGTAAAAGAGGCAAATATTGTGCAATATTATGGCAATTGTTTATCTTTATTTAAATCGTTAATCCTTGGCAAATACCATGAGTTCTGAGAAGAAGTTTTAAATTTGAGCATTTCAATAATGGCATTATCATGGGCCAATGTGCATCATAACTCACACTGTAATGGCCCTTAAGTATGATTACGCCAGACTAGCAAATGTCACCAACACGCTTCGTTTGTAAACAAGTATTTCTAATTTTCCACAGTGCACTGTGGCATCCAAAATACTGGTGCTGTCTGAGTCTGTCCGTGATGCGGCAGATCTCTACTTATCAGTCAAGTACCAGCCAATAATCCTGATCAACGACTCACCATGTGGTTTTGTGCGGCATTTAGAGTGCAGGGATGCAGAAAGGGCAAACCAACTGTGGGGAGAATTTTCCGGTTGTTTTCAGCGTCCAAAGTATGCCACAACTATCCGCCGGGTAAGGAAGTAATGATCAGTCTTGTTTTACTATACATTAAAATACACTGTAAAAAATATGATTTACAAGGATTTTTAGGGAGAATAATTATTAATTCATTGTTGATTTTTTCTTTTTGATGTGACTTTGTATCCATCACGTAACATGGAAAATTTGTGTATTCTTTATTGAAAAAGGACCACAATTTTCCAGAAATTGTTCCAGCAGAATACAGAACTGCAGGAGAAACTAGCAGCACTGAATCACCACACACACATCCCTACACAGGAACTACCAGGGGGTTTGTCCTTCAAGATCGCTTTCATGCATCAAAAAAACCCCACAAGTCTCCTTTGTGCCTCTTCCATGATGTCAACCTCTGTCAGCAGTCAAATTGCATCACTACCAGCACACAGGAGTCTGAAAACTCAAGAAAAAATCAACGCAGATTAAGAAGTACCTGTGCCCAAAACTTTGGTCTGCACTTCCTCTACAATTACCTCATGGACTATTACCAAAACAAGGCCATCGTAAAAGCCCAGTATAATTCCCTTAAACCTTATTTAAAGTCTGGGCAATCAATTTCAAGAGACAAATTCCATAGATTTATAATAATAAGTAACAATTAAAGTCAGTTGCACATGACATTAGCTGTGGTCACACTACAGACCTAGGTGAAC